GTTGCTTTGCCCATATCTTAGCTCAGAAAATGCCTTTAACAGAACTTTTAAGTATGTGTTGAATGAAATGTTGAGACTAAAACCAGGAGAGTTAAATTTTTATCATAAATATTTGTTTTACTACCAGCAACCAAATGATCTCCCCATAATCCTAATTACCTTGTCAACCTTGTAAGCTTTCAGTTAAGAGTAGGAGGATTTGTAGTCTAATTCTTATCACCCAAGAAACTAGGTATCTGTGATTACTTTGCAAAGAAATCTGCACATAAGTGTCAGCCATTGGAAAACCACTTCCCACTGGCTCCTGACTTGCTGGGGGAGAAAAAAAGGAGGAACAACCCTCACACCTGTTCTTTGCTGATGTAAGAAAGTTTGGTGGAAAGGATTCTCTTTTGCTGCCAGAGCATCTTAACACCTCTGTATTGATGCTGCCAGAGCATCAATACTCTCTGTTCTAGAACAGGCAGAGAAATAAACACAACAAATCTACTTCAGACATAACTAGGCTATTTTATTTTCTAGAACTAGCACTTCAGTTGGTATTATTTATTTTTGAATGTGAACATTATTAATACCTTCTGGCATAATTAACATAAACTGGCTACCAATTTGACTGAGGAATTGTTTAATTTTCTAAAACAGGAGGAATTCATGATTACTTAGGAAGTTACATTTTCTCCTTACCATGCTAAGAGGTCTTGCCACCTTTTGGATGGACTTTCAGCCTGGAAGGCTCCCTCTGCCATGGCATTCAGAGATAAACAACTAACTTCAAAATAAGCAAGCATAAGATGGATCAAAGTGGGAGTCCATTCCATTAAAAGTAACAATGATAGGCCGGGTGTGGTGGCTCACACCTGTAACCCCAGCTGGGAGGCTGAGGTGGGTGGATCACAAGGTCAGGAATTCTAGACAAGCCTGGCCAATATGGCGAAACCTGTCTCTACTAAAAATACAAAAAAAAAAAAAAATAGCCGGGTGTGGTGATGCATGCCTGTATTCCCAGCTACTCAGGAGGCCGAGGCAGGAGAATTGCTTGAAACTGGGAGGCGGAGGTTGCAGTGAGCCAAGATCGTACCATTCCACTCTAGCCTGAGTGACATAGTAAGATCCGTCTCAAAAAAAAAAAGTATAACAAGGATAAATTTATTACTGTGTTATTTATCCATGAAGATATGCCATACGTGAAAACCTTTCTCAGAACCATTTAAAAATATTTTCCCAATAGAAATATCACAGTTCACAAGGCAAAGACCCAAAGAAAATCATTTGATAGTAGTAAAATAACCAACCAAGACAAGAATAAGTAAGCTGCCCTTCCTTGGTTATGACATACCGTCCTAACTGGCCTTGGCCACCCACCCACCACTTAAGATCCCCTATTGCAGGAAGCCCATCTCAAGCCACTCAGCTGCACAAGCAAAAGCCATCTTAATTTTTTTTTTTTAATGAAGTCTTGCTCTGTCGCCCAGGCTGGAATGCAATGGAGCAATCTCGGCTCACTGCAACCTCCACCTCCTGGGTTCAAGTGATTCTCCTGCCTCAGCCTCCTGAGTAGCTGAGATTACAGGTGCATATCACCAAGCCAGGCTAATTTTTGTGTTTTTAGTAGAGAGGGGGTTTCACCATGTTGGTCAGGCTGGTTTGGAACTCCCGACCTCATGATCTGCCCGCCTCGGCCTCCCAAAGTGCTGGGATTACAGGCCTGAGCCACTGTGCCAGGCCTAGCCATCTTAATTTTAGTGTAATTACATATGTAATAACTCCAGTTGCCCCAGCCAGAAACCTGGATGAATAAATAACCTGCTTGTTCACACTGCACTCCCAGTATCATCCAGCAGTTAGTACTATCGAGCTCCTCACCTGCCATTTGAAAATTTTAGAGGTAAAAAATACAACTCTTTGAAGGCTTAATTACTATAGAAAAATCCTCTTTATTTTGTTTAAAAAAAGTAAGTTGAAAAAAATAATGCAAATTTCCCCTAATTAGATAATGAAAATTATCCCTGCTATTTCTTCCTCGTGTTTGGGTCAGATAAACAGTTCGGTACTACTGAACTAGCCCCTCCAAAACAGATAGGAAGCCTCAACACAACCTCGCCCTTGGGGACCCTTTATCTCCTGGCCTAGCTAAATTTCACTTTCTTTCAGGTTTTGCTTCCACCCGGGAAAGCTTTGCAAGTTCACTTGGGGCTTTTACTTTTGAACAGGAAGCAAAACGCCTTGAATTTTTTTTTAACACTTGCTTCCCCTACTTTTTGCACAATCTTCAAATCACTTGGAGCCTTGAATGGCACTCCCCCAGTTTGCTAGCCACTAACCTCTCCTCCACAATAGCATCTAGGCATTCCTGTTTTTAAATGCATAAGAACTGATCTCATTTCACAGCAACTTTTTTTTTTTCTTTCAGATGTTTCCATTTTCAACCCCTGGCACATAGCTTCACAGTAGTTTTAATTTAAGAGTTAATAAATATGTCACCATTTACAAGTATGTGCAGAATGTGAATTTACGGAATATGCCAGTACATGTTTGTCCATAACAAAGTAAAATTAGGAACACGGGTAAAGTTTCTTCACCTATTCAGAGAGTTTATCTGTTCTAATTATTAAGTGAATACACCACTTCTTAAATACATAGAGAAGCCCAAAATCACACCACTCACTTCCCCAACCAGATACAGAACATGCCATTCCTCTCAGACTGATAAAAAAAGATTTTGAAACTCCATAATGAGCAGGTGTAGTGGCTCATGCCTGTAATACCAATGCTTTGCGAAGCTGAGGTGGGAGGATCCCTTGACCAGAAGTTCCAGGCTTCAGTGAGCTCGAGGCTGCAGTGAGCTATGCTCCCTGCACTTTAGCCTGGGTAACAGAGCAAGACCCTGTCTCTAAAACAAACAAACAAACAAACAAACAAACAAATAAATAAATTTAAAACTCCATGTGGTCCTTCCCTCTCTTACCCAAATTGGCTATGTTGCTGGAAGAATGGTCTCAAAATCCATTTTTAATAAAATGACACATGTTGTTCTGTGAAGCATCAAAGCTTTTTCTCAGGCTGAATTGTAAACAATTTACTTTGGGGGACCCAGTATATTTATATAAGGGTGTTTGTCTATATGCACGTAGGCTTTAGTCATATACATTAAGGTCTGTGTTTTATTTATTTTTGAGAAAGGCTCTCTGTCACCCAGGCTGAAGTGCAGTGGCAAAATCATGGCTCACTGCAGCCTCAACTTCTCAAGCTCAACACCTCAGTAGCTGGGAATATGCGTGTGAGCCACTGTGCCTGTCTCTTTTCTGTTGTTGTTTTGTATTTTGTAGAAACAGGCTCCTACTATGTTGGTCAGGCTGGTCTTGAACTTCTGGGCTCACGCGATCCTGCCGACTCAGCCTCCTAAAGTCTATTTTTATTTAAAGTCAGAGTCTCGCTATGCTGCCAGGGCTGGAGTGCAGAGGCTATTCACAGGTACTATCCCATTATTGATCAGAAGTAGAATTTTGAAGTGCTCTGTTCATGACCTGAACCAGTTGACTGCTTCTTAGGCAACCTGGTTGCCTCCTGCTCCTGGGAGGCCACCAAATTGACCATATTGAAGCCAAACTTAGTGTCGACACATGGATGAGCGATGGGCATAGAGCACTACAATCCAGAACTCTGGTGACCCTTTGCGTCACCCTTCCAAGTAGCTAAAATTACAGGCATGTACTACCAAACCTGGCTTTTTTTAAAAATCAACTTAATTTTAAAACAATTTTTTTTTGTTATGGGGTCTTGTTCTGTTGCTCAGGGTGGGGTGCAGCAGCTCAATCATGACTCACTGCAACCTCGAACTCCCAGGCTAAAGCGATACCTCCTGCCTCAAGCGATACTTCCCGCCACAAGCGACACTTCCCGCCTCAAGAGACACTTCCCGCCTCAAGCGACACTTCCCGCCTCAAGTGACACTTCCCGCCTCAAGCGACACTTCCCGCCTCAAGTGACAGTTCCCGCCTCAGCTTCCTGACTAGCGGGGCACCACACGCCCAGCTAATTTTTTTAATTAATTTATTTATTTACTTATTTATTTTAATTTTTGTAGAGAACAGGTCTCGCTAAGTCCGCTCAAGCTTGTCTCAAACTCCTGGGTTCAAGCAATCCTCCTGCCTCAGCTTTACGAGAAGCTGAGACTAAGCTGCGCGCCACCGCGTGCAAGCTCGCCTCCGTTATAGGTCTTCACACATGCAGCTGCTGCCGCTTTCACTTTGAACTGACTCCATTTTGTAAAAATACATTTTCTGAGGTAGCCGCGACTTCTGTACTCAACTACACATCCTGACGTAAACCCCTCAGCATTTGAAACCCAAAAAAGCAAAAAACCCAAACAGCAACAAAAAGCTCAAGCCGATCCTTTGGGAAAAGCCACTGCTGCCCTCAAAGTTCCGAAATCTGAGATTTTACGTGCACAAACTGCTCAATCTGCTACAAGCCAGGCAAACTTCTTGATATGCCCACCCACGCTAGCAAGCGGTCCTCGACCGTGGCAATGGGGATGTGCCCAACCCTGAGGGACAGAGCCTGCCGTTCTCACCGGAACCACCCGCTCAAGCCCGCTTATTTGCGACACCACAAGCTTTCCTTTCTTCCCAACTCTGCTTCCGAGGTTTTGGCTAACCGGGCATCCAAATGACAGAAATTTCTTGAAACGTCCAAAGAAAAATTAATGGGCGCCTCCTATGGTGCATCTATGATGGTGCCCAGTGCAGGAGGAGGTTCCGAATGTGGAGGGCTTCCTCATGCAACCCCCAGCTCCCTGCTGCCACCCCTCCCCCTCCTCCTCAACCCAACGGTCCCAACCAACCCTCCAAGGATGATCCCGAAAATGAGGGTCCTGTAGGGACTATCTCTGACGGAGAAGCTTGAACTCCTCAGCCACCCAGGGACAAAGGAATTGGCTCCCCGCCGCCACCCCAAGGTATTTTACGTCAGAACAACCCCCATTAACAGTCTTTACTCACCCTTGCTGCCGTCTTCACTACTGGAGAGGTGGTCGAAGTAGCGTAGGGTGCCTTAAAGCTTCTCCCTGTGGTCTCCAGGGAGACCCAAGGAGCCCAGTGGGAGTGCGGAGGTTTTGCAAACAGGGAGCAGCTTCTAACTGACTCCTCACCCGACGAAGTCCCCTCAGGCACCTAGTGAGCCCCAGAGTGCAAAGCGCGTAAAGAGGCGGGGCAGAGAGGGGCCGTGGGCGCGGCACCGCTCCGGCGGAAGTGGGGGTGGACTGACAGCATTCCCGCCAAAACTTTGCGTTGCTGGGGTCTGAGGTACGTACCACCTCTGGACTGGAGGTGCAACAGCATACCCCGTCAACATACCCCTTACCTTGCCGAGTCCAAAGGTTCCACCCCAATCCAGGCTTTCCGCTCTCCGTAGACCCCGGAGCACTACCTGAGCAGCACCTAATGTAGCACAGAAAATATATGGATCCCATAAACGAGCGGTCTTTTTGAGTCCAATCACAGCTACTTTGTGGAACTAAAGAAGGTAGGACCCCATCCTGATCTAAACGGCCTTCGTAGTCTGAAAGAGCAAAATGCGACCCTTGTTGAGTATGGACTACAGCTTAGCAGGGCATCAGCAGGTGTCTGGAACTCCAGAGGTCAGAGGGAAGGCATCAACTTCAGTGTTTCCCTTGGCCTGCTGGCTCATTTAGTATGGTGGCATTAATCACAAGGCCAGCCTTTTTTTCACACTTCCCAATCCGCCCTCCTCTCTGGCCTTTTCCAAGAGACACACCCACTGAGCTTTGCAGGGTTGTCCTATATTACACCATTTGATTCCTCCAGTCTGTTTCTTTTTTCTTTTTTCTTTTTTTTTTTTTTGAGACGGAGTTTAGCTCTGGTTACCCAGGCTGGAGTGCAATGGTGGGATCTCGGCTCACCACAACCTCCACCTCCTGGGTTCAGGCAATTCTCCTGCCTCAGCCTCCCAAGTAGCTGGGATTACAAGCACGTGCCACCGTGCCCAGCTAATTTTTTGTACTTTTAGTAGAGACAGGGTTTCACCATGCTGACCAGGATGGTCTCAATCTCTTGACCTCGTGATCCACCCGCCTCGGCCTCCCAAAGTGCTGGGATTACAGGCTTGAGCCACCCTCCCCTCACCACTCATTCCAGAGTTGAATAAATTCTCAATGAGGAATAGATTTAACAATGTTATTTTCTTAAAATGACCAATTTTGAGACAGGTTAAAAAGACAAAGAGTTAAAATATCAAAAATCAACTTTAACTCTGCTCTACTACTGAGCACAGGAAGAACAAAGTAAGTATTAATTTAACATCATTAATATTAAACTTTATTCATAATAGTGGCAACGCTTGCCCCTCTGACAAGGGGGATATGTCACAAAAAGGGCCTAGAGCTTTCAACCTCCAACTCAATCCTTGTAACGTCAAAAGTTGACTACTCTGAAAGGTGGTCTTTGGATGTATGTACTATTTTCTTCATATCAAAATTGAAGATCAATGAACTTCGGAAACAAGCTTCTAAACCCAGTATCAGAAGGGACTCATTTTAAAATAGCATTGGTCTTCCCGATGGCATTTTAAATAAAACATTCTGACTCGCAGCTGTATCTGAAATTTTGAGGCACTATAAACAAACTCTAATTATTAAGTTTAAAAGCATCAGCATGACATGACATCTGAAATAATCAGGAAATGATAGAGCAAAACGTTGTTTAGCGAAGCAGGCATTTATGCAATAATTCTAGGAACCTAAATCACAGTGCTCTGCTGGTGCAGAGAAATCAGGTCTCTTCTTCCCCATCGCACATGCAATTCTTGTCCTTAAGAAAATCACTTCCCTTCTTTAAATGCCATATTACATGCAAAGGGGTAATAACATGTATGTATGTAATGCTTGTCATTTGTAGAGTATATGGTCTGCATAAATTAACTCCAATTGTAAATTTAGAAGTGAGTTGTCAGAAACAGCATTCAAAAAGAGGGATTTTTACATGCTTTTCTCCTGATAACATCTCAACCAAGCTTCCTCAGAAAGGAGGCATGACTCCCACCACAGAAGCAGAGAGATTAGCGACAACAAAGAACAAGAAGAGTTTGGGCTTAAGTATAAATCCTGGCCAGTCTTAGAGAATGTAATTAACATCTCTGAAGTCATGGTGACTGACAATGGGCCCAGTAGTAAATAATACCTGCCTCACAAAATTGGGATGATTCAATGGGATGATGCATGCAAAGCACTTAGCACAGGGCCTGGTAGGAAGGTGGTCTTGGTCAGTGAGGTTGTAATTACCACCAGGAACCACAACAGAATACTAACCAAAGGCAGGAAGGGCTTCCAGATGTCCATCCCACCTGAACATGGAATGCAGGATTTCAGGGGCTTCGGCCTGAGACTCTAGTGTTCTTGCTTGGAACTATCATCTTACCTCTGCTCTTTCTCACAGGGGGACTGGTCAATATCAAAGACTAGGCACCTGTCTGCAAAGAAAAGACAGTTGCCAGTAGCCTCCAGAGCAAGCCCAGAAATTTCATAGAAACCTCTGGAGGAATTCCTTGGAAGACATAAAGCCAAGTGAGGTAAGATTTTATTTCTGTGTGGTCATTAAACTGACATTTGTTTGGTTCACCTCAGAGGAGTTAAATACCTCATTTTCATATCTCTTGAGGCAAAACAGAGCAGACTTGTACAAAATCAACATGAAGTCCCTCGTGGCTTGTAAGAATACTCACAGTTTTGTTCATCTCCAGTTCATTTAAATGCAATTTTGTGGAGCCTTGGTAATATTTCCATTACATCTGAAATACACTGATCAATGTGTGAGTTGAGTTTTCCTCAAAAGTCCTCCATGTTTTTGGAGGGGCAAGTATGATGTTAATACATAGTAGTCACATTAAAGATGTCTGCGCTGTTTTTTTTAAATGGAAAAATGTAATGACAAATACACTAAAAGAATTTAAGTAGTGCCATTTTAATTCATTTGGAGTTAAAAAAATATCAACCAATGAATTCTAGAAGGATCCTCATTTTATGTCTATATGCTTTTCAGCTCTATTCATCAAACATACAGTGAGTGACTTCTGTTTCATTACCTACTACAGTCTCCATAAACCCAGGAGTACAAACTGGATAAAAGATCCATTTCTAGATGCCAAGCCTCCTATATATAGCATGATTATTACTCTCTGGCAAAAATCTCAAAATCAATCATGCTTTCTGGTGCTAATAAATGTTCTTTAGGCACAAGAAATGACATATGAACTGTCCTCTCCACCTGCACTGGCACTGCTTTAGATCATATCGCCATTGACTCTACCCTGTGTTCCTGACTGGAGTCCTTGCTACCTTCACTTTTGACCCCTCCAAACTGTTCTCCACCGAGCAGCCATTGCGACTTCTAAAACTAAGTTCATGTCACATCACTTCCATAAATGGGAATACTGTCAGCTCCCCTACCATCACTGCCACCATTGTTGGCTGTTGAGAAAGGCCCATTGCCAGCCTCACCTCCTCTAATACCCTCCCAATTATAATGACAACTTTTCTCTCCTCACTCCACAACAGTTAAATATACAAAACTTTGCTAGAGTTTTTAACTGTTTTGATTGTTACTTCTTAAATATTATAATTAGGGTTGAACATGCTTTTTATAGAATAATGGATAATTTTTTTTCTTGGTGAATTGTCAATTAATTTCCCTTTTTTCTTTTTTTAAATTTTACTTTAATTTCTGGGATACATGTGCAGAACGAGCTGGTTTGTTAAATAGGTATACATGTGCCATGGTGGTTTGCTGCACCTATCAATTCATCATCTAGGCTTTAAGCCCCACATGCATCAGGTATTTGTCCTAATGCTCTCCCTCCCCTTGCCTCCCACCCCCGCCCCGAGAGGCCCCTGTGTGTGATGTTCCCCTCCTTGTGTCCATGTGTTCTAATTGTTCAATTCTCACTTATGAGTGAGAACACGTGGTGGTTCTTTTTTGTTGTGTCTCTGCCAGGTTTTGTTATCAGGACCATGCTGGCCTCATAAAACAAGTTAAGGAGGAGTCCCTCTTTTTCTATTGCTTGGAATAGTTTCAGGAATGGTAGCAGTTTCTTTTTGTGCCTGCGGTAGAATTTGGCTGTGAATCCATCTGGTCCTGGGCTTTTTTTGGTTGGTAGGCTATTAATTACTGCCTCAATTGCACAACTTGTTATTGATCTATTCAGTGATTCGACTTCTTCCTGGTTTAGTCTTGGGAGACTATATGTGTCCAGGAATTTATCCATTTCTTCTAGATTTTCTAGTTTATTTGCATAGAGTTGTTTATAATATTCTCTGATGGTAGTTTTTATTTCTGTGGGATCAGTGGTGATATCCCCTTTATCATTTTTTATTGTGTCTATTTGATTCTTCTCTGTTTTCTCCTTTATTACTCTGGCCAATAGTCTATCTATTTTGTTAATTTTTTCAAAAAATCAGCTCCTGGATTCATTGATTTTTTTAAGAGTTTTTTGTGTCTCTATCTGCTTCAGTTCTGCTCTGATCTTAGTTATGTCTTGTCTTCTGCTAGCTTTTGAATTTGTTTGCTCTTGCTTCTCTAGTTCTTTCCATTGTGATGTTAGAGTGTTGATTTAATATCTTTCCAGCTTTCTGGTGTGGGCATTTAGTGCTATAAGCTTTGTTCCCTAGATTCCGGTATCTTGTCTCTTCCTTCTTGTTGGTTTCAATGAACTTCTTTATTTCTGCCTCAATTTTATTATTTACCCAGTAGTCATTCAGGAGCAGGTTGTTCAATTTCCATGTAGTTGTGTGATTTTGAGTGAGTTTCTTAATCCTGAGTTCTAATTTGATTGCACTGTGATCAGAGAGACTATTTGTTATGATTTCAGTTCTTTTGCATTTGCTGAGGGGTGTTTTACTTCCAATTATGCGGTCGAGTTTTAGAATAAATGCTATGCGGTGCTGAGAAGAATGTATATGTTGTTGATTTGGAGTGGAGAGTTCTGTAGATGTCTATTAGGTCCACTTGGTCCGGAGCTGAGTTCAAGTCCTGAATATCCTTGTTAATTTTCTATCTCACTGATCTGTGTAATATTGGCAGTGGGGTGTCAAAGTTTCCCACTATTATTGTGTGTGAATCTAAGTCTCTTTATAGGTCTCTAAGAACTTATTTTATGACTCTGGGTACTCCTGTACTGGTTGCATATATATTTAGGACAGTTAGCTCTTCTTGTTGCATTGATCCCTTTACAATTATGTA